CATATTTAATTACATAATATTTTTACATCTGTTTCTTATACTATTATGTACACAATAATTATCTTATACTCTAAAAGGTTTTAAATCTTGTAATTTACAATTTTTAAGCTGAGAACCCTGCCCCGCACCTCAGCACTATAAATATAAAACGTCGTGGCGCCCTACGCGTAGCTTCATTAACTCCGCGGCCGCGTCACGATAACATGCCCTGATAATGTTATAATTATCCTGAGAAAGGTAATTTATTGAATGGTAATATGTAAGAAAGGTAATATACAATAAAGGTGATATGCAACAAAGGTAAATTAACTATAAGAATACAATTTATATTTTAAAATCTATGCTAACTCTCGTTATTTATTCGATGCCTTTATTGGGAGAGTTATTGCATAGTTACAACATCATTATTTTTTTATTATCTTATTCTAAATCTTATATTAATATAAGTTATACATGTTTAACAAAATTAAATACAATAACCAAGACTACGGCTGTTTTTCTGTGTTGTTGTATGCACCCTCGCTAGTTGTCGAACCTCGCTGGTCGCGACCCCGTGGCTCCGCCCACCGCCCCTGAGTTGTTCAACCAGTGCTGGTTACACTAAGCAGGTATCTCGTCGCTTGCGTCGTGCATAGTACAGTAAGTGGTTTTTATTAGTGTCAAGATAGTAGTGAACTGCGGTGTGATAACTGTGCAGCCCACGGTTGTTTGTGAGGTGCATTGTCAGCGTTTTTGCCGTGGGTACGGTTGCAACAAATCCAATATCTAACATATTATGTCAGCTAAGGAGCTTGATATTTTCTTTCCATCTGCTATCAATGTAAGTGTCTTCAAGGTAAGAGTAAATATGCTTTACGATCTTTGTCTGCATCACTACTTACCATCAGGTGGGATAGTAGTCAAGCGTTGGCTTAGAATAGTAAAACAAAATATTGCTTTATTTCGAAAAGAATGCTTTATTTGGTCAATAACATTCAAATATTTTTATTAGTGTTTGTGTTTAGTATGTCACATGCAACAGGTAAAGTAAGAAATGCATTATACATCTCTCTAACTAATATATATAAAATATGGTGAGAAAGCAGCTAGTGGCAATGTCATTTGAATTACAAATTATGAAGAGCATCTGGCACAGCTTGGGTTACCATTTGCAATTCTAAATATTTTATTAGTTCGGATCAAGAAAACAAATGTTTGAATTTATGGATAGACTTCTACTAAAGGCTGATTTATCATTGCAAAAAATACAATTTGAATTCAGATGTTATTTATCATACCGTTTCACTATTTCATTATGTGCACTATTTCAATAGTACCTGATCGACATCACCAATATGGCTATTCACAATTCGGCTGCTGAGTATGGTACTAGGTACCCTAAGGAGTGTCACAAAATACTTACTATATAATAATATTCAATAATACCTTACTATAAATAACGACCAAATAGCGCGCGGTATACATTAGAGTAATAGGTCGTTGTAAGGCGTAAGACTCGAAAATAGTGAAAATTATTTTAATGTTTTAAAAGAATTGTTAACGTATTATTTAGTTAAATTAAATTTAATATTTAAGAAAATACGGGGTTACTTCATTTCACATATATAAATAATTTAAATTGTCGATACTCCAAACTACCAGGGATTTTTTTAATATTTATAATTTTTCAGACCTTTTACCATGTAAGAAAGTATTGTTAAAACTTAATAGGTAATTAAATTACCTATCTAGTCAAAGGTGACAGTCCAGAATATGTAATAAATATATAATGTAAAAGATGTAATTTTTTTTAATTCAATAGAAAAAATAAAGGGGCAAATAAAGGCAATAACAACCGGCTCACTTCACAGGAAAGCTCTGCCGGGATAGCATGGGCAGCATCAGCAGCAATAATGCATATATTTTCGGAAAGAGCTTTCTGACACGCCGCAAGCGAAACCTTCAATTCCAGCCGCAGACTTCTGGTTCGCGAAACCCCCTACCACGTGGTTTTCGTTTTTCCTTTAATAACTCAGGTGTCCTTTATCCAAAAATTCCAAATTTTTGGAGGATGAAGTGTCCCCAGGTGGCGCACAAAATCACTAAAAATGTTGTGCAGGTTGTTTTGCCACTATGAGAAAAAACGGTTTTTTACTTAAAAAATCACTAAAAAATTGTTTTGCGGCTAAAAAAATTACATCACTAGATGCGTCTCGTTAATACGCAAATTTTGACACGAAGTACACTCAAATCTGTTCACTTTTTTATCACTTTTAGAATTTTTAACTGCGGGAGTGTCACAGTTTCTTGAGGATCCGCTTTGTTTCCTTGTACTTGTACGTGCTCTTTATAGTTTATAGCTTTATACCATGGTATTTTTATTATCTATGCGCGGGGATAAGTTCATCTACTGTCGATATTATATCCACCATAGGCTCATGCTCGCAGGGATAAAGCTTTGGCATAGGGATAAAACAGTTTTATCCCTTGTCAGTGGATATAATCGGGGGATAAAAATTTTGTCTCCTGCCCATGCTAGCCCGGCTGGAGTAGGTAAGCGGCTCTGGAGTACAGAGTACGTAGGTACTGTAAGGCCGCCTATAGGAGTGGGAAGATGATGTCGTCCCTAATTTGTATGTAAACGACAGTGCGTTCTTCACGTCATCTCATCGAGTACAGATCGCAGTAAGGAAGTTGCAGTGACTGCTGGAGTTATTTCCGGAGTGATTGGACATATGGAGGATGGCGGTCAACGTCAGGATAACCGCCGCCTTCATGACCAGGCTGACACGTATACCACCAATTCTGCAACTCCGTGGGCAGAACGTAGTTTGGAAAACAACTGACAAACGATTGGTCGACTTTACAATGGCAAATTGTGGACATCTTGCCGAAACCCGGGAAGGATAGGGGTAGAGCTCCCAGCTACAGACCGATTACGCTGCTATCGTACATAATAAAACTGCTAAAAAGATTGTTTCTAAGATGCCTCCGCCCTTGCATCCAACTTCGGGTGGAGCAGCACAGATTCAGAATGGATCACTCTACAGCAGCACAGCGGATCAGAGTGCTGCACTTCCTTGCGGTCGAACACAATCGCGCCTGCACATCGTTGGGCATTTTTCTCGACATGGCGATGGCGTTCGACAGGGTGTGGCACTCTGACTTACTCTAAAAATTAGAAGACCAAACAAGTATCCCTCATGCTATGTTGTGGTCAGTAGCATCATTCCTCGCAGATGTGGAGGATGCCGAGTTTGCAACAAGACTCATTAGAGCCAGCGTACCACAGGTCAGCTGTCTGTGTTCAGTTATGTACGCAGCTTACAGTAGCGATATCCCCACACTGCAAGACATCTGCGCGAATGGGAGGATGACGTAGAGCTGGCGCTTATTTGGACATACTTATTGAATAAAACTGGATTATTTACGGATTTTATCGCGTTTAATTACTTTAATTTATTTTTATTATTATCCCGACTTTTCAGGTGCTTTACAGCACCCATGGTCAGGGGGGGACTGAGATCTTTGACGTCCCAATGTCATAGTTAGTCCGGCTACCTTCAGTTTTTTTAATATTAATTTTTGGTCCGATTTACGCAAAACGAGCTTATAGTACCATGAAGTCATGCGGTGGTATGCTTGGGTTTGGGTTTAATTTTGTTAATTATAGGATCCCAAGCAGATGAACCCAACCATCTTCTCTATTGAAATTTTGATTTTTTTAATTTCAATAGCCTCGCGTATCATCCTTGGTAGGAATCGGTGTTCTTTTGCGAGAATTTGTGGTTTATCAAATCTAATGTAATGGTGGGGACGATTTTGAACATGTTCGCAGACTGCAGACTTCCCGGAGCGTCGGTACTCACATCAGCTATATATTCCTTCACGCGGGTTTTTATAGATCTCTTTGTTTGACCTATGTAAGAGAGACCACATTCATAATCTAGCTTTTACACACTTGCATCTTGTAGAGGAATATTACATTTGATGGATGGTAAAAATTGACTAATCTTCTTCAGCGGCTTGTAGTATGTCTTAATGGACGCTCGCTTCAAGATGTAGCCAATCTTGTCCGTGACTCCTCTGATATATGGTAGTAGAGCAGGCGCGCGCTCGACTGTGGCCGGCTTCACTCGTTCACTGTGACGTAGGCGCGGGACCCGAAGCTTGTTGTCTTGCAATACTTGCTTGACGTGCTGAAGCTCCGCGGCCAGATGTTTTCTGTCACAGATCCCTCGTGCTCTCTGAAACAAAGATTTACCCACGGTAGCTAACTGTGAAGGATGATGGTGAGATTCACCATTTAGATATCGTTTGGTATGGGTTTTTTCCTATACACAGTGTGACCAATAGTGTTATCAGGATTTCGGATGGCTAAAACATCTAGGAAGGCTAAAGAATTATTTGTCTCTAACTCTTGTGAATTGTATTTTAGAGTTTATGGAGTTAAGGTTGTCTAAAAATGCAGTTACTTTGTCAGATGGTAAAATTGTGAAAGTAGAAGAGAGAAGGAGCAGTAAGAAGGGCTTTCTCCTCAAAGTCCTCCATGAATATGTCGGCGACTATGGGAGACACAGGTGATTCTACTTCTATCTACTTGCTTGTAGAACTCCTCCTTCCACAATAGATAGCCAGATGTGAGGCAATGTTCAAGTAGTATTGCATATTCTTGAGGCATGTTATTTTCTTCTAGCTTCCTAGTTACAATTGAGATGCAGTCCACAATAGGTAGGCATGTAAATAGTGACTGAACATCAAAACTAACCATAGTTTCATTGTTAGCGAGATGTAGGTCTTTTATCTCACTAACAAAATGGTACGAATCCTTTGTGTTTGCTCTGGTATGTCCTCGCAGTGGTGATAGTATTTTTGCTAAGTATTGTGCCAGCTTATAAGTTGGTGAATCGATCTGGCTCACTATGGGACGTAGTGGAGCGTTTTGGTTTGTGTATCTTCGGTAACCCATACAACCTCGGTGGTTTGGTACATGACGGTATTAGCGAATTCACGTCGAGATTTTATTTTTCGGAGTATTTCTTTATTAAATCGCTAGTTGTTTTAAGCGTGTTAGTTGTAGGGTCTGTTTTGACCTTTTTATATGTACTTTCGTCCGATAAAAGTAGTTGTATTTTAAAATTATATTCCGACGCGTCCATTACTACTGTAGCATCTCCTTTATCCGCGCGGAGAATCGTGAGTTCTGGTCTGTTCCGTAAGTTATTTAGCGCTGTAAATTCGTCTTTGGGAAGGTTTAGTTTCGGCTTTGAACAACGACGTAACAAGGACGAAATATCTTGACGTATGGCCTCCAAATCTTCCTTACCGATATTATTCTTAAACAGACAATCCTCAGCACTGCAGATAATTTCTTCGTACGGGATTTTTCGCGGAGTTAATGCGAAGTTCATTCCCTTCGCTAATACTTTTTATTGTCGGTTCGTCCAGTGTATGTTTTGACAAATTATAGACAGTGCGTTGTTTATAGTTTGTGTCTATGGTCAACGGTTGTTTATTGGTCTGGCGTTGACTTGTATGTTTGGCATTTGATTTGATCGTTAATTTTTGGTATTTTTCTATTTGTTTATTTTTGCATTCATTGTATTTCGATGTTTCTCGTTTGTTTAAAGTTTCGATGCAATTATTAAAATCAAATGTCCTTAAAATTGTCTAGTAGGACTGTATGGTGTTGTTTATGAAATGTAAATCGAAACGTTTCTGCTGAATCACCGTCCGTAACAACTTTTTACTTGCCTTATTTAAGATCTTAGCGCTTCCTCGAATGTACTTCTTTGTTGATATTTTGTTGATTTAGGAATTAGATTATGGTCTCTGCATCTCTTCAAGAAATTTAAAGATGTTATATATCTTGCGCGCTTGGTTTTAAGATCTTCTAATCGGCTTCTAAAAAAATTAATATTAAAAAAACTGAAGGTAGCCGGACCAACTATGATATTGGGACGTCAAACATCTCAGTCCCCCCCCGTGACCATGGGTGCTGTAAAGCACCCGAAACATAGGGATAATATTAAAAATAAATTAAAGTAATTAAACGCGATAAAATCCGTAAATAATAGTTTTATTCAATGTGTAGTGTTCGCGTAAATTTAAGAAATCATTACGATAGCACTTACTTCACCTCGTCCTGGAGAACCCATATCACCATTGCCAAGATGCAACTTCTGCTGGACATGTGGCCACCATGGCTGGATGAGTGGAGGATGGCTATCAACGTTGGTAAGATGACCGCTCTGCTCACTCGCCGCTTCAGAAGTATTCCACCACAACTCACGCTCAGAGGCCAGGAGATTGCGTACGATAAGGCTGTGACATATCTTTGGAGCCGGGTCTACAAGATGCTGCGCATGACTGTGCACGTCGACTTTGTCACCCGCAAAACCAGATGTGCGTGGGAAATGCTCCGTCCAGTCCTGGTATCCAAGTTGCCAACTAGAACAAAACCACCATCTACAGAATGTACTTAAAATCATTTCGAACATATGCTGCTCCAGCCTAAAACGCGCTCTCTCGACTGCAGGTTCAGCAGAACTGTTCATTACGGACCATTATCGGTGCAGTTCACTACGTCCGGTACGACGTTATAGCAACCAACCTAGGAATGGAAACTATACAGGAATTTGCGGTTCGCCTGGCGCGCAGTATATTCAACCACGCCGACAACGGGCCACATCCTCTTCTCAATAACTTCGCGCATCGCGCCGCTGCATACACGGCTCCCGGACGGGCAACCCAATCCATAAGAACTCCTCTATATATATATAAATTAGAGAGTCGAGTAAAACCGAAACCTTCTGGGCACTAGCCAACGCAGAACACAATACTACTAGTTAAAAGCCCCGCGATAGTAACATCTTTCGAAAGGTAACTTTACAATGACGCTGAATAATGGGAATACATACATCCCGTCAAATTCCAATCACCAGCCTGATGTCCTCGAAATGGTGATGTGCCACCAAATACCGTACCAAATAACGGCTAGAGGTGCTGTATGATCTGGACATGCAGTACCTCCCCGTGTTGTTCATCATTGCTACTAGTGTGGACGCTGTAGTGCCTAGAAGTCCAAAAATGAGGACAAATTTAAAAAATTCGCAGAGCGCTAGAGGACCTTCGTCTCGGTGGCTCCATTAACACCCAAGAAGATGCAGGGACAGCGGCTTTGCATATTTACTCCACAATCCAAAAACAACTACAACTCTCCTCACACCCTGTCTTAACGGGGCGCCAGGGGGGGGGACTTCCCATGAAAACTCCAACAATAACAGCTCACCGAGAATCAAAATTTGAGAAAGCTATGGGCATGAACAAGGTGCCCAATAATCAAAAGGAAGCTAAAAACTATCTCGGACGAGCTGTCGGTAGTCATAAGAGTGCACAGGGGAGAGACATGGGAGAGGTAAGTCGAAGAAACTTCGGAAACACGCGTTTCCCTGCATCTCCTCAACCGGCAGCTCACAAAAACACCTGTTTACCCACTAAAGGATAACACGAGGAAAGGGTCTACGACGCCGACAGGGTGCGAAAATGATGACACACTAACTAGAACAACAGTTCAAGCCAAACAACGTAGTAGAGGGGTACGAAGAGCATATAGAGAGCATTGAAAACCGCGTACAGGAATACCTGTCAAACTGGCAACGCCTCTGAGGGGCGATGATTTCACCTCGCCAGCAGAGGTAGGTGCGCCATCATGTGCCTACCCAACCGCAAAGCGCCAGGATGCGACGGTATCACCACCATGTCTATAAAGCAGCTGCGCAGAAGAGGGATTGAGGAACTCTCTTTTTTTCTCTCTTTATTAGAATTACCAACGATTGATACGTTATTACATCGTTAATTAAAATTTACGGTTTCGTTATTTCTAAATGCACAATCACTTAAAGGTAATCACAACATGCTATCAATTTACATTTTAGTACTATTTATCTAAGGAATTCTTATTTTAAGTAATTTGATATTTTATGAACGCGTGCGCGTGCGCGTGCGCGTGCACGTGCATGTGCGTGTGTGTGTGTGTGTGTGTGTGTGTGTGTGTGTGTGTGTGTGTGTGTGTGTGTGTGTGTGTGTGTGTGTGTGCGTATGTGTGTATATGTATGCGTTTTTTACATTAATTATTAATAATTTGGTACACGATCTGTGCTTTCACAATGTTTGAAGTATTTACATAAATTCTCATAAAAATGACATATGGAATCAAAATTAACATCAACGACCTCACTACATTATTAAAGACTTTACAAAGCCTTGCTACTGGTGAATGCGCAACGAGAACAGTTCTACGACGTGGTGGGTAAAGAAGTGGAATTGATTTGCGTGGAATTCTTATTGGAGTGCGAAATTAAATTGGGCGAGAAGCTGTGGACAATCTACTTCTATTTCTAAGTATCTATGTATATAAATATAATATCTATTAATTTTAGACGTATCGATAAGGGTAGCATATTATATAAATATTGAAGTCTATCTGCAAAGGATGTTATTTTTGTTCTTTTCCAACAGAATATGTAAGATGCCACATACAACGTTTTTGAACTCACTCCAATCGCAACGAATGTGTTGCAGTGTGGAGTATGGAGTACTGCAGTGACAACACTGCAGTACTCCATTATACTCCTTACAAGGCTATTGTACAATTTTTTTTCTTATGACAAACCCTAATACTTTGGAAGATCTATTTATAATACTATCAATATGAGGTACAACAGTTAGTTTTTTGTCTAAATATACACCAAGATCCCTTATCACTTCTGCTTCTTGTATTTTGTTACTCCCTATGAAGTAATGGTTATTGATCAACTTAGTATTTCTTGTAAATTTAACATGTGAAATTTTAGAATAATTAGGATCCATGACGTTAAGATTACACCAAATTACAAGCCTACTTAAATCTGTCTGTAACAATACTGAGTCTTCTAAAGATTCGATTATTCTTCCAAACTTTAAATCATCCGCATACATGTAGGGTTCCTAAAATTTAAAGCAACTAGAAATGTCATTTATAAACAGGTTAAATAATATTGGTTCTAAATTTGAGCCCTGTGGCACACCAGAGGAAATGATACGATTATCATATTGAAATCCATTTATGACCACATAAAAATATCGTTTTTTTTAAGTATGACTTTACCCATTCCAACAATGATCCGGCGATCCCATAAAGGGCTAATTTGTAGTTTAGGACTTTATGCGGAACTCTATCAAAAGCTTTACTTAAATCTGTGTATATTACATCATATCGCTTACCTGCATCTATTGCTTTTACCAAAGACTCTGTAAAAGTTACAAGTTTTGTGCAAGTTGACCGTGATCGAACAAAACCATGTTGATTATTACTGAGGTAAAGTTTTAAGTGAGTCTGCAGTAGTTGACTAACTAGAGATTCAAGTATTTTACCGAATATTGGCTAAATTGAAATTGGCCTATAATTAGATATTATGCTCTTGTCCTCTGACTTGTAAATGGAAACTACCTTTGCAATTTTCCACTTCGATGGGAGAACTCCTATGGCTAACGATTTGTTGTGTATAATCAATATAGGTGTAACCAAAACCGATGCACAAGACGCTATGAAAATTGGCGAAATATCATCAGATACAGCACCTTTATTGCAATTCACTCTTTCTAGCTTATTGATTAAAGTTTTGTTGTCTAAAGTGTCAGTGACAAGCCCGTCAAACATTGGCTATTACTCCATAATAATTTCAAATTATCGAAATCATGAATACAAAACCATCTATCTCCGTCTGCATTATAAACAGAAAAGGAATAATCGCAAAGAGTTCACAAATCTTAAATCCGTCAAAAGTATTTTCCTGAAAATTTGTCATAGCGATGGGGTATCCGTTAGTACTACCGCGCTTTTCTTTGACATGAGACCAAAATAGTTTTGGATTATTTTTTATTTGCTGTTCTTTTTTTCTGTATAATTTTTATAAAAATTTACGGCGAGTTGCTGACATCTTTTACTTAGTAACTTTAACTCAATTTCATCCCTAGAATTACCATATATTTTATACCGTTTTCTTGTTTTATTTTTCGCATTTAATGATTTTATCAAAGTTTTATTAAATAAAACAGGATAACGTTTGTTTCTTCTCTTACTCATTGGTATATGATCCTTAATAAGTGTATACAAAACCTTATAATATGCTTTAACCATGTCGTTGACATAATTTAATCCACTAAACATCTCAATCCAATTAACCTCATTCAAATGCTTTCTTATTAGACCATAATCTGCTTCATAAATATTATGCTTTTTATTTTTAAACTGTAAGGAAGACATTTTTCCTTCGATAGTGATATAATGATATCTAGAGGAGGGTGTATATGTTCAGTATTACTTAAGCGCGTTACTGCTTGGGTTACTTCACACAAATTAACGGATGTA